CGGAGGTATCCTGCAGGGGAGGTATATCAGACGCGCGGAGGTATCCCGCGGGGGAGGTATCAGACGCGGGGAGGTATCACATGCGCGGAGAGGTATCAGACGCGCGGAGCGGTATCCTCCTGGCAGAAACCTCAAACCTCTAACCTGGCATCTGGATGGGGGGTTTAGGTTAGGAGGTTACTAGGGGTACGTAATGGGAATACCAGTGGGAGTGATCATGACCGCAAGAGCACCACACGCCAGATTATTACATGGCCTGCGAACTTTTCACACCACCACAAGCCACCCTGAACCCTCAAGCCTAAACCAGACCCAGAGGCCGAAGAGCATCCAAAAGGCAAGATGGCACGCCTGCCTCTGCAGGAGACGCATAGACTGTTTTGCAATTTGAGCTTGAGCTTTGCAGCTTGAAGGCTCCGAGCGTGATAGTCGCCCATCTTGCTAGGTTTCGGAGGCTATTGGGTTCAAGTCTCAGGATTTTGTATTAGGGCACAAGGGATCATCTTCTTCCGAGTCGAGGCTTTTGAGATGTGGTCCAAACTGCTACTGTTTTGACGACGCTACGCATTTCCGCCGGCACACATACTGTGCTTGCAGCTAGCGTCATTCCTAAGGTCCTAACCGCGTACCATGACCATAACCGTGTGCTACAGTGGTCAGTGGCAATGTCCGCACCCCTGAGTTGTGGTGCAGCAACCCCAGTGCAGATGCCTGAGCCATCTTCTCATCGTCCAGGTCGTGGCAGCCAGGACGGATCTTGCAAGCCCTCGCAGCAAACAACAGCGGCGTGCAGAAATGATTTGAATGAGACGCAGCGACGGGCTAGGGCGCATGAGAATATGTACAAAGCAAAACACAACGCTAACGATCGACAGTTTGAGCTCCGCAATGGGCAAGTTCCGAAGTGAGGGATGATGCTTCAAGATAGGGCAGTGTCGCTAGTAACCGGTGTTGCGGTAAAAGTTAGTGCTGATGCCACTTTCCACGACGATTGCTTTGATCAGGCTCGTGTGGATCGCATCAGTCGAGCATTGAGCAGGGGCAGCGTCTGTGCTAGGAGGGCTGTGTCAAGCCGTGTGCAGCAATTGAACCAGAATCCGTTTGGATATATCATGTAGCATCACGGCAAACTCTCCTACTTGCAACATGCGCTCCGGACGTATTTAGGAGAAGAACAGGCGCCCAAGTGTATGCAAAGTGAAACCAATGCTCCTAAAGGTATGCGGTTAGCGATTGTAAGAGGAAGTTAGGCGGCATGTCACGCATCCAGCCTCCACCAGCCGCGCGAACTGCGCGCAAGGTGCCCCCCATGGACCGGATGCTCAACACCTTCTTGTTCGTCCAGCGCAGTCATAATTTACGAGACTTGTGGCAGTGTACACAAACCAGGAAAAGGGGCCAGGGGGGTCTCGATGAATACCGGCTACTTTTTGCACGGAGGGGTGAAGCCACAGGAACCTGTAGTACGTGCGATTTGGAGAACAGTCTCTTGGACTTCCCATGCACGCCATCTCTCTCATACGAGCTGCCAGGGGCTTAGATCCTGCATCAACAACGGCGCGCACGACCCGCCAGAAACAAACAAGGGTGTATGGCTCGCATGTCTTCGAGTCGATGGACACGAGGGTTTAGTTTGTAGGGGGCTTAAGATTTATGCATACAGTCTACATGCTCTAGGAACCGGTACTTCTGAGTTGGCGGCGACAGAGAGGCAGGCGAACGTGTGGTTCACCCGACCAAGCACCTGCACAGACAACCGGAGGGCTGACGGGGCACAGACTCCTCGAATTTCTGCAGCAACAAACCGGGACCGTAAGGTTCCCGGACTTCCTGCAGACCCGTAGTCTTTCGGCTCATAGCCTGGGATTACACTGCCCAAACCTGGCGAGAGATCGGAGAACCACCTCAGCCAATCTCAAATGAATCAGCTCAAAATTCCAAGCGTAGGCTGAATCAGCGTTTCTCAAGGAGCCCCCCGCGAACTTCAAGCCGAAACCCTGCACCCACCTTCGACACTTGGCTGGTGATGGGCTGGAAGCTCTCGATCCCAGAAAAGCCGCTGCCGCCCAACCAGTCGACCAGCAAAATCGTATGCTGGAAGCAGACCTGTCTGGGCTCCAGTCCAGTCTCGACTGGTTCAGGGTTGACAAGGGTGCTGGGCCCACTGGAAGTGTACAAAATGGTAACCAGACGACAGAAATCATGCATGCTGTTTTGTCTTGTAGTGCTTAGCGTGCAACTTGCCAAAAGACTGCGGACAAGAAGCAAAAACGGTTGCAAAACCTGCTCGAAATGCAAACTTCACGAGATTTCTGTCTTACCTGCGCAGCTCGGACATGTTCCGGAATGCAGCGGCGTAGTGAGGTTTCTGGACCTGCAGCTGTTCTACAACCCTAAACTTGACTTAAATCTATCCAGCAGAGGACGTTCAGGTGATTTGTAAGTATAAGCACATCACTGGGTTGGCCTTTAAACCCTCTGTTTTTTTAAGGGCCCCTTATAAACCCACATATGGAAAATCAAAGATGCCCCAAAAACCAACCTAGATTATGGCAAACGGCCAACTGTACGGCAGAATAATCCAAGCACAAGTTGCCAATCTATGGTCACCTATAGGTCCAGATCAGGTCCAATTTTTTAGGTGCCCCGAACCTTAAAGTCAAAAGCCGATTCCATTGTTACGAAACCGCAGAAAGCCCCAAAGAACCTAGACACAACATTATAAAACCCACTATGGCCATAGTATGCTAGGTACCCCCGCTCAGTTGAGCCGAGGTTCCAGGAGTTGGAGAATCAGTCGAAGCACGTGGAGCTGGGGCATCTCCTCAGCTCCGCTCCTGCTGCATGTGAAGCTGCTCTTCTTGGGGTTCAGGGGTTCGGTGGTTTAGGGTTTAGGAGTTTAGGGTTAAGAGTTTACGGTTATTAGGGAAATTGGTGAGAATAGTTTTTGGTACCAAATATGGGGGTTGTCCTACTTGTAACCCCACCTGTGAAGGAGTTGTGTAGGGCTTTACAAAGCTTTATACGGGTTTATCGAGATATGTAGGTTTTGACAGGGTTGCACAAAGGGCTTGTTGTCGTAGTTTTAAAGGCTCGAAGCCATTGGCCCTTGCTTCCGGTTGAACTCCGACATTCACCATACTAGGAACACGAGCTGTGATTCATGGGAGGGCTCCTCAGAAGGAGAGGATAACGTGAATGAGCTTGCGCTCCAGGCCACAACATGCACAATTCGGCTCGAATGCCGAAAGCACTCCAAAAGACAGGGCCAAACCAAACCAAGCCAAAAAATGAAGGGAACGCACACCGACCCCAGACCTTCGACCCTCGAACATTTTGCCCCAGATTGTCTGCCACAGTCACAGCATGGCTCAAGATGGCTCCACCCCCAAATACCGCGTCTTCGATAGCATGTGCTGCGACAGCCCAGCTTTGGAACAGTCCAAGCTTGCATTCGCATATCAATTCAACTCTTACTGGCCTTGCAGGTGTTGCTACTGTTGCTGACATCACCAGTCTTACCCTTGCTACGATTAGGCTGTGTACTATTACCAGTGTCCTTGCTATCGCTGCACCTGCCGTGCTTTGCACCATGCTTACGCGAAACCGCAAACACATGACTACATGTGTTGTGCGACCTCAATGCCCAAACCCTGAGAGGGGCGTCCTGGCGACCCAAAGGTCGTGGATGTGCCGCTGCGGGGCGAAGGTTCGTAGGCCATACAGCCAGGAACCTTGCAGTAAGAATCCTACAACATGATTTGAATACTCGTGTGGAAAACGAAGGGTCGGTTTCGGCATGGGGGTTGCTCAGTTAAACGTACGGAGAATACTGTATAGGATACAGTACTGATTGTGAAGGCTCTTTGTGCTCGAGGTGTTGCCTGGGACAGTCACGCGTGAGGGTGCTAGTCAAGCTACATTCCTTCGGCGTCACTTGTGCCCGCTCTGGCACCGCACAAGAACGAGGTGCCCAATCCTACAGGACCTTGATATCCTCAGAGCAAACGAAGCTTTGCTTGATTCCCGGCCGATGTGGGCCGAAGACTGAAACACAAAGTTCTGCAACTCACCTCAGCTTGAAGACATGAACCTTGACGCCTCAACCCGCATGCAGCAGTGACGGCAGCTGCTACAATCATCGAGCTCCTTGCGATCGTTGGAACCACCTTACGCTTTGCTAGACGGTCCGCATCGGCAGTCAAAGCCATTCCAAAACTTCATGGTCCGTCAAGAGGCTTCTGCTCCCATTGGGCGCAGCCTTGTCGTGCTGGGCACCTCTTCGGGCAACGTACTCGAGGGTTGCGGCTGTTTCTTGCAACACATTTTGATGAATTCGATATATATATATATATATATAAAATATAAGTACCCCCAAACGCCAGCACCGCAATTGCATACAGATACAACACTCAAGCAGATAGTGCATCCGATCATGCAGGCTTGAAGTTCCTTTCAAGATATAACATTCGCTGGCTGGTATACTGCCTCTGTATTTATACGTGTACGTAAGAATGTAATATGTAGGTATGTATGCATGTATGCATATGTAGATGAATATGTATATTAGTATGTAGAAGTACCTATATAATAATCATGGAGTTGTTTCCCCCCCCCCCCCTATGACCCGCCCCCCGAAACTAGCTCTTTCACTAAGCTTGCTGAGCAGAGGACTCCGGTTTGGCGGTCCAACCCCCTAGAAAAGTGTTGAACCAAACCACGACACTGAGCGCTTGCT